TTACATCATGCATATGACGAATTATTCGCAGAAGTGAGAAAGGAGGCAGAAGAGAGCGGGAGCACGAGTACGGCCACGGAGAACGTCGCGGAAAAGGGGGAGGTTGAGGCGACGAAGGAGGGCGAGAAGGAGAAGAATGAAGACAATAAAAATAGTGATAAGAGCGAGAAGGAAGCGGACGCCGCTGACAAGGAGAAGGATGCCTCGAATGAGCAAGAAGTTGTTGAGAGTGCACCGGAAAGTGCGCCTGACAACGCGAAACTACTTGGACTGTTAGATGTATTTATATCTTGTAAAGTCGCGCGTTGGGCCCCTTTCATTGTCAGGGTGAGAGCGAGCCATTGTATTCTCTTGTAATTTGCTCTCTTAAACTGATTTAATTACTATTTTATCTCGTCACTTGAGATCGTTTCGTCTAATCTTCGAACATAATGAAATGATTGAATAGAAATCCGGACGTAATGTCCAAATCTCCAAGTTAGCTTGTAAATAAATTCGAAGGAATTGATAAATTTGGAAGCTTAGGCGAATTTGAGTTTAATATCTTTCGATTGTTTTGTGATCTGTTGATAATTCTCAGTAAAGATCCAAGCAATTTACATGCACGCATAAATTAATACGTACGTAATAAGTTTAACGAACCCTTGATAAAATCAATTATGCGGCGTTGAAAAGCGTCTACGAGCTAATTCGCGGAATCATTTCTTACATATGACGAATTATTCGCAGAAGTGAGAAAGGAGGCAGAAGAGAGCGGGAGCACGAGTACGGCCACGGAGAACGTCGTGGAAAAGGGGGAGGTTGAGGCGACGAAGGAGGGCGAGAAGGAGAAGAATGAAGACAATAAAAATAGTGATAAGAGCGAGAAGGAAGCGGACGCCGCTGACAAGGAGAAGGATGCCTCGAATGAGCAAGAAGTTGTTTTCATTCAGGACATGGGCTTCACCGTCAAGATCGTCAGCCCCGGTTCTAAGCCCTTTGACATTCAGGTGTCCAGCATGGAGCTCGTACAGGTAACATCGTTTGCCGTCCGAATGGTAAAATTGTCACTTGTACACTGCCTAAGGTCATGTTGTTTAAATTATCAATTAGCTATCGTTAGTTAATGAGAACCGCCTTTATCAACGCTTTGAACTTAATTTTGCTCTCCAACTGTTTATTTTTAATAGTAATCAGATCTCCCACGTTTCCATTCATCGCTTTGTTTCATATATTTTCTCAATATTATATTGAAAGGAGCTGATCAAGCTCCTCAGCAGATGACAGGATAAAGCGGTGGCAAGCGCGCAAAAGCTACAACAAGTGCGCCAAAATAAGAGCGGACGAAATGAAGGTCTCGCGGTCCTTCCAGGACAATCGCGTGCGAGAAAAGACACTCTCTGGTAGAAGGCGAAGTAGACATGTCGCACTGCTCGTCGAGAGTCTGTTAAATAGCGAAAATGTAATTAGAGTTCATACAATATGATTCTATTAGTTTTGAGATACAGTGTTCAGTTCTTAGCACGATCCAGAGTCCGATCCTTTATTATAACTCGTCGCGATTAAATCGGTAGCAAATCGGTCGCGGGAAAGTTCCGAAAGTCACGGGCAACGCGGTCGTTAATATCGAGACAAAGAAATGCTCGCCTACCTCGCACAAAGGGGAACGCGTGACCCTTCCGGTCAAAAGCAATATATGGAAAAATAAAACGAGAATCAGCTTGTATTCGAATTTTATTTTCGCGGCCAGAAGAATAGAAATTTGAACTTTTAGATATTTAGGGAATTTCTCTTACAATATCATGTTTGTGTTAAATTTTTCGAGATTTCGGAAAATTATTTCGATGAGATTAACGCCGGAATAAACCAGTATCTTTGCTTTTTACTAATGTCTTTTCTTTACAGGAAATTCATCAGTTGCTTATGGACCGCGAAGACACGTGTCACCGCACGTGCTTTTCACTGCAGCTGGACGGCAACACGTTGGACAACTTCGCCGAGCTGAAGAATATCGAGGGCCTGAAGGACGGCTCGATCATCAAGGTGGTGGAGGAGGTGTACACGATGCGGGAGGCACGCATACACGTGCGACACGTACGCGATCTGCTCAAATCCGTGGATCCCGCGGACGCTTACAACGGGGTCGAGTGCAGCAGCCTGTCGTTTCTCAATGTCGTCACGTACGGCGATATCCTAGAGAAGAAGAAGACCCGGGCAGATTCGGTCGATTGCACGCCACCCGATTACATCATACCCGGTTGTAGGGATCGGCCCCTGTTGCCTCTCCAGCCGCAGGCGAAGGAACAAAAGTGCCCGCCGTGTCTCAAAGTACGAAATTCTTGAAGTCACTCAATGATCTAATAGAGGCTGGGAAAAGACTAAAATAAGGAAGGATAAGTTGCATATTTAGCGGCATTATTAATATTTTTTCTAATTTTCTTTAAAAGTCTAAAAAAGACTCGAAAAACTTGATAAGTTTGGATGCGAGTGTTCTATCTCGTAAATATTGGAAAATCTTTCCGTAAATCTCGAGACTACAACTTGGATAAGTTTATTGAAGAAACGTAAAGATTTTGTACGTTCATTTGAACCGATAAGAATTAATTGCTTTGAAAAATTATTCAATGACGACTAAGTATTTTTTTATTTTTAAGAAATACAAAATTAGATTTTATTTTTACCGAGAAAGAGAGACGAAAGAGTTTTCTAAATTGCTTTTGCATCTTTCCCAGGTCCTAACAACGTCAGGATGGAATCCACCACCTGGCTATAGAAAGCTTCACGGCGATCTGATATACTTGCATGTAGTCACATTGGAGGATAAGCAATATTATTTGACCGCGTGTGCTAGAGGCTTCTTCGTCAACCAGTCGACTAAAGAAGTGTTTAATCCTAAACCAGCTACGCCTAGCCATTTGTGCCACAGCTTGATCGAGTTGTTGAATCAGCTCAGTCCAACCTTTAAACGAGGATTTGCTTCTATGCAACGGCGCAGGACTCAGAGGCATCCCTTCGAGCGAGTGGCCACGCCTTATCAGCTGTATGCCTGGAGCGCACCGCAAATCGAACACACCATTGATGCAATTCGCGCGGAAGACAGTAAGTTCTGAAAAAAGTGAAGAAACTTTTCTAATATCTAATCAGAAAGAAGTTAGTTAGCCAAAGTCTATTTCATTTAGTTATGTTACATTTGGTTTTAATCACTCGAAAGTGTTAATGGATTATAATAATATCGCTTGTGAGAAGTATTATAGAAATTTAATTTAATTGACCTCTTTTTCAGCTTTTTCCTCCAAGTTGGGATACGAGGAACACATCCCGGGACAAACGCGTGATTGGAACGAGGAGCTGCAAACCACGAGGGAATTGCCGCGTAAAAATCTTCCCGAAAGATTGCTACGAGAGCGTGCGATCTTCAAGGTATTGTCTTCTTCTTGAAGATGACATGATAATATACGATATACTTTAAAATAGTAGTACAAACAAAAACTATATTCTTTACCTTTTATTAATTTTTTCATCATTCCTTTTTTAGTTATAAAGTCAGTTTATAAATGTACAATAATACTTTTAAAGCTGAAATAATAAAATAATTATAAAAATAAGTTATTTTTTTAATAGTTGTAATAAGTTCTTAAATAACTTCTAACAATTAATATTGCTACATTGTTTAGGTCCACAGTGACTTCGTGGCGGCCGCGACTCACGGAACAGTGGCGGTTATCGACGGCAACGTGATGGCGATCAATCCTGGCGAGGAGGCCAAAATGCAGATGTTTATCTGGAACAACATCTTCTTCTCGCTCGGCTTCGATGTGCGCGATCATTACAAGGAATTGGGTGGCGACGCCGCGGCCTTTGTCGCGCCTCGCAACGATTTACAAGGTGTCCGAGTGTACGCGGCTGTGGACTTGCCCGGTCTCTATACTCTTGGCACCGTTGTCATCGATCACAGGTGCGTTTCCCAGATTTCTTGCGGTTTTCTAAAATTAGTTTTCGTAATTAATAATCTGTTCTTTGTGACGTCCAGAGGCTACCGCGTCACCGCGCAGTCCATCATACCAGGTATACTGGAACGCGAGCAAGAACAATCGGTGGTCTATGGGTCGATCGATTTCGGGAAGACGGTTCTCACGCATCCTAGGTACCTTGAATTGGTAAGTGAACAAAATGCATAAGTAAAATCTGTACAATGGTAATGAAATCAGAGAAAAATATTGAGAAAAGGATAAAATACTAAATTAATAGTTTTCCTTACTGTTACAAATGGTTAAGGAATTGATTTATTAGTTACATCAGTTTCCCCACTTTAATCTTATTTCTACATTTCTCTTTTGCTTAATTTCTTTAATAAATTTTCTTAAATTTAATTAAGTTTTTTATTAAAGGAAAATGTTAGTAGTTTTATATAAATAATTGCTATATTATTATTTAATCTTATTACTCAAGTATCTTTAATACTCGCGTTTAGTTAAACAAAGCTGGGCAACAGTTGAAGATCCTTCCTCATAAGGTGATCAACGATGCAGGCGAGGAAATCGAACTTTGCAGCAGTGTGGAATGCAAGGGTATCATTGGTAACGATTCGCGGCATTATGTGCTTGATTTGTTGAGGACCTTTCCACCCGACGTAAATTTTCTAAAACGTAAGTCGAGATCTGCTAATTCTACCATAGTGTGAAAGAGAAGTCGTTTTACTTATTCGGGAAACATTCTTCTCGTTCAGTCGAGGGTGTGGAACTGAGCAAAGAAGCACGAGCCTTAGGATTCCCAGTGGAACACAAGCACAGACTGGCCTGTCTACGGCAGGAACTCATCGACTCGTTCGTCGAAGCCAGATACGTTCAATTTATCAAGCACGCGGCCGTTCATCTTCAACAGCTTACATCAGCTAGAAGATCTCAAAAGGAAAAAGATGCGATTACCGCCAAGGTATGTATTAATAATATTTTTCACTATTATATTTTATTTTTTATTGTACTTATACCTTATTAAATGCGAATAACTTGAAATAATAGGTACAGAAGGTAATACAAACTAATAATTTTAGGAAGATAAGAAGGAAGAGAAGGATTCAACTGCCGTTGTAACGGTGGACAGTAACAAGGAAGACTGCGCACAATCTCT